TCCACATCCCCCTTCACCTTAGGACCTTTCAAGTGTAAGTCCACGTCAGGCATGGAGATCTTGGGGGTCTTGAAGTGCATCTCAGGCATCTTAAACTTGGGGCCTTTCAGCTTTCCTTCCGGTCCTTCAATGTTGACATCTGGGGCTTCAATGTCAACTTTGGGTCCAGAGATGTCAACGTCAGCCTTGGGCAGGTTCACATCCACATCTGGGCCCTCACCTTTCAAGCCGGGCATGCTGAACTTAGGCATTTTCATCTTGGGCATTTTCAGGCTCCAGTCTGCACCTTGGACTTCCACATCTGGTGCTTTAATGTCTACCTTGGGTCCTTTGATGTCCACATCTGGAACTTTCATCTCACCTTCTATTTTTGGTACTGACATATCTAGATTGCCTTTCATTTTGGGTCCTTTAAGATCCAAGTCAACATCTGGCAGAGTCATCTTAGGAGCCTTGAAGTGCATCTCAGGCATCTTAAACTTGGGGCCTTTCAACTTTCCTTCTGGTCCTTCAAGGCTCAAATCTGGAGCACTAATATCTACCTTGGGTGCAGAAATGTCCACATCAGCCTTGGGCAGGCTCACATCCACTTCTGGGCCCTCCCCTTTGAGGCTGGGCATGGTAAATTTGGGCATTTTCATCTTGGGCATCTTTAGGTTCCATTCAGGACCATGAACTTCAACATCTGGGGCACTGACATCTACTTTTGGCCCTTTGAGTTCCCCTTCCATCTTTGGCACCGTAACATCATATTCTCCCTTTACCTTGGGACCTTTCATATGCAAATCCAATTCAGGCATAGAGATCTTAGGGGTCTTGATATTCATCTCAGGCATCTTAAACTTGGTACCCTTCAGCTTTCCTTCAGGTCCTTCGATGTTCACATCTGGAACTTCAACGTCCACCGTGGGTCCCGAGATGTCAATGTCAGTCTTGGGCAGGTTCACGTCCACTTCTGGGCCCTCTGCTTTGAAGCCTGGCATGCTGAACTTGGGCATTTTCATTTTGGGCATCTTCAGGTGCCAGTCTGGGCCGTGAACATCAACATCTGGAACATCGATATCCACTTTGGCACTTTTAAGTTCAACATCAGGAACTTTAATCTCACCTTCCACTTTTGGCACTGTGACATCGTATTCTCCTTTTACTTTAGGGCCTTTCAAATGTAAGTCCACATCTGGCATGGAGATCTTTGGGGCTTTGATATTCATCTCAGGTATCTTAAACTTAGGTCCTTTCAATTTCCCTTCTGGTCCCTCAATGCTCACATCTGGAGCACTAACATCTACCTTGGGCCCAGAAATGTCCACATCAGCCTTGGGCAGGTTCACATCCACTTCTGGGCCCTCTGCTTTGAACCCTGGCACACTGATTTTGGGCATTTTCATCTTGGGCATCTTCAGATGCCAGTCTGGGCCCTGAACATCCACATCTGGGGCATCAAGGTCCACTTTGGGGCCTTTCAATTCCCCTTCAAGTTTTGGGACTGTTACATCATACTCTCCTTTTACCTTTGTGCCTTTAACATGCAAATCGACATCAGGTATGGAGATCTTTGGTGTCTTGACACTCACTTCAGGCAGCTTAATATCAGGGCCTTTAAGTTTGCCTCCCAGACCCCCTATGTTGACATTTGGGGCCTCCACATTGACCTTGGGCCCCAAAATACTGACATCTTTGGGTAGTTTCACATCTACATCTGGGCCTTCCCCTTCAACTCCTGGAGGGCTGAACCTGGGCATTTTCAGGTTCCATTCTGGGCCATGAACTTCCACACCTGGGGCACTGACATCCACTTTGGGGTCTTTGACATCCACTTCAGGGACTTTGGCTTTCCCTTCTACTTTGGGGAGTGTGACATCTACACCCCCTTTCACTTTAGGTGCAGCCACACTGAGATCTACATCTGTCATAGAGATCCTGCACGTTCCTGTTTTCCCAGAAGGACTACTAAGCGTGGGTCCCGTCAGGGTCCCCTCAAGACTAGGTGTCTTTATGTCCACTTTGGAGCCCTTAACTGCCACTTGAGGGCCTTTAACATCACCTTGCACCCCAGGCACTGAAACCTTAATATCTCCCTTCAGTTTAGGGGATCCAAGGCTCAGATCCACATCCTGCATGGAGATTTTAGGTTTCTGTATGCTCATTTCAGGAGTCTTGACTTTCGTACCCTTCACCTTCCCTTCCAGCCCCCCAGCAGCAACTTCAGGCAGGCTGACGTCCCCAGACATCCCAGGAAGAGTCACTTCACCTGTGGGCAGTGCCACATCAATGCCAGCTCCCCCTCCCTTAGAACCTGATACAGAGAATTTGGGAACTTTCACCTTGGGCATATTCAGTTTGCCCCCAGGACCATGAATATCAATGTCAGGGGCTTGAACTTCCACATTGGAGCCGCTGAGAGTGCCCTCGATTTGGGGCCCTGAGATGTCCACCCCTATGCTCCCCTGTGGCTTGGCACCTTTCAGGCCTAGGTTACTCTCAAGGGATGGCCCAGTGATCTGGGGGCCCTTCAGCTTCCCCTCGTACCCCTCAATATTGGCAGAAGGAGCACTGACTTCTAGCTGAGGGGTCTGGATGTTCCCGCCAATGGTCAGGCCTGGCTTGCCACCCTTGTGCTCCACAGAGAATTCAGGTACAGAAACGCTCAACCCTGCCACTGGTGCCTGGCCCTCAGGTGCTGTTGAGACACTGAATTTTGGCACCTTCATAGTGGGAATTTTAATTTTCCCATTATTGCCACTCTCCAGAGACGGGTCCTGCACCTCCACCGCTCCCCCCCCAAGAGAAGACGAAATGTCCACTCCTGGAACTTGGACCCCTCTTTTGCCACCCAAGTTCAAGCCTTTTGCACTGACATTGACACCTGGGCTCCCCACCTTTATCCCAGGCACGGTGACCTGGAGCTTCGAGTGGCCAGCACCTTGGAGCTCTAGTCCTGAAGCGGAAACGGACCCCGCTCGGATGTCCACAACTGAGCCTGCGGTAGGAGACACTGCCCCCGGGCCCGAGGGCAGTCTGATCACTGTCTGGCCAGAGTGGGTGTCCACATCCACAGTGGAGATTTCCGTCAGTTCATGCCGTGGAATCTTGATCTTGAACTCTGGGCTGCTGATATCGATCTCCCTGGCTCCTTCGCGGCCTGTCACATCGACAGTGTAGGCCGTGACCCTTCTAGTCACCGTGATGGTGCGGCTCTGGGTCTCCCCAGGATCCCCTTCTAGTCCATCGTCTGACCTCAGCCGAGGCTTGATCTTCGTGGTGTAGATGCGCTGGTAGTCCTCATCATCCCCGCTCTGCAGAAAGACACGGCCGGCCGAGGCTGTAGCAGGGTCTGCCTGAGCCACAGACGCCCGGCCACAGCCCAGTTGCCAGCATGGTTGCCTGTTTCCCAAAGCAGCTGGGACCAGAACGGAGGCCCACGAAGCCTCCTGGGGCGGACCACGGAGGGGGGAAGAAAGGGGCTGACAGCTACATCACAGGAGGAAAACAAATTATTTGGGGAAACTCTGGGAAGCAAAAGCCATGGGGGAGAGATGTGGGGTTGACTCCTGCCTTGCGTGGTCTGGAAGAAGGATTTACAATCAATTCTAGATTCCACTCGTCCTGTCAAGTCCCAGGGATGCCTCCCAGCTCTGCGTGGATTTGACCCTTGGGCTCTCAATTCTCAACTCACATTGTTTAATGGGGAGCCCTCGGAAAGCGTTTGTTGAGACTCTGCCGTGCTTGGGTTAACGCTTTCACCTTGAGGACCCATTATTTGTTAAATAAACAAGCCATCAGAAGGAGCAAAGAAACGTCCCCCAGGCACTTTGCTGCCCAGCCTCTGACTCACAGATGAGTCCAGGCCTCTGGAAGGATAAAAACGGTGTCTGGGAGGCAGAGCAGGGCACCTGTGAGACTAGTCTGAAGATTCCTTGCCAAGCAGCTGAGCTTCCTCCTGGCATCTAGGGCCAGACAGCGTGAGTGGGTCCCTACGCTGCGGCACTCTGGAGAGACTGATGGAAGACTTTCAGGGGCAACATCAGCCACACGCCACACACAAATAGGAACACACGGTCTGATTTAACAGAGTGCACAGGGGAGAAAACAGGAGAAGGAGCTACAGAGAGGCCCAGGAGGTAGACACAAGGCTCAGGAAGTGGCCAGCAGGTCAGTGTGGCTACAGGGAGCTCAGGGCACAGACAGGCCAGTCAGGCACTCACCAGAACCACCTCGGAGCTTCGGGAGCTGAAGACTTCGTGGGCCCACGTCTGGCCAGGCTCAGGGGAGCGGTCCCCCTTGCGATGCAGCTTCAGGCCCACGGTGTGGTGCCCCATGGTGTTCAGCAGCTGGGTCACCTCGCCTGACTGCAGGTTGTCAAAGTAGATGGTGGCACCCACAATCTGGTCCCCTGAGCAGGGCGGAGCAAGAAGCAGGTGAGACCCACGGGGTCTTGGGAAAACAGCACACAACCACCGCATGCTGGACCCTCGAACTGACTTGCGTTCAATGCGTGTCATGACCACCCTACAGGGCAGGTGCGGTAATACCCGTTGCACAGATGAGGAAAGTAAGGCTCAGGGAGGCCCACCGATGCGCCCGAAGCGGCAGAGCTTGTGGGTAGTGAAGTGGGCACTAAGGACGATGTCTCCACCCCACTATATAACCGCTTTCCCCGAGGACTGTGTGGATCGAGGGACACAGAGTGGGTAGGGGAGGGGAGGGCAGGACTTGGGTACCGACCATCCTGATGTCACCAGGACTGGCCCCTCCACGGCCCCTGTGGCCTTCCCTCCGCCACCCTCAGCCAGCCCAGCCCGGCACCCAGCCCGCACTCTGAGGTGACTCACCCTCTCTGACCACCCCAGTGCGGGCCGCAGGGGAGTTCTGCATCACCTCCTGCACAAAGACGCCGTCGTCCCTCTGGGCGATGGTCAGCCCGTGGGAGCCGCTGCCCTGCCAGTTGGGCAGCAGCAGCTCCCGGGTCGTGTCCTCTTCCTTCTCCATCTGGGGTGAGGTAAGGAAACGGGGGCTCAGGACAGTGGGGGCTCGAGGGCATGAGGAGACGAGAAAGCCAAGGATCTCTGGTGCTGTGAACTCGCAGGGACTGCAGCGTGTCTCAGATGCCTGCTTCTGCTGTGGAAATGGTCCCCATGGAAAGTGGACACTGGCTCATCCCTTCCACCCAGGACCCTGCCTCCCGATGCCACCCACCCTGGGCCCCCCACCCCACCCCGGCCGCCCCTCACCTCCGTCACACCCTCTCTCCCACGGACCTTTTGCAGGACTCAGTTCAGGAGCGGATGCCTTGCCAGGAGCCCGCCCCTCCTTCCTCTCTTCTCAGTCTCTCTCGTCGGGAATCTCGGTCACACAGCCTGGGGAAAAGTGGACAAAGATGCTCACGCTCAACAGGCGGCTTGCTCAAAACCCCGACCGCAAAAGACGGCTGGCTTGCTCCTGTTCCGTTCTCGGGGCCACACCGAAACCCCAACCCTCCCCTACTTCAGTTCCATTCATACATGACTGTCCAACCTGGAATCGCGGAAAGGGGGCTTAGGGGAGCCAGACCCAGATATAAACCCTGGTATCAACCCTGGCTCTGGGGCCCCTGGGTGGCTCAGTCAGTTAAGCGGATGCCTTCAGCTCGGGTCATGATCCCGGGGTCCTGGGATGGAGTCCTGCATCGGGCTCCCAGCTCAGCGGGGAGCCTGCTTCTCCCTCTGCCTCTGCTCACGAGCTCTCTCTCACTCTCTCTCTCAAATAAATAAATAAAATCTTTAAAAAATAAAAATAAATAAACGCTGGCGCACACCTGGGTGGCTCAGTCGTTAAGCGTCTGCCTTCAGCTCAGGTCATGATCCCAAGGTTCTGGGATAGAGCCCCACATCGGGCTCCCTGCTCAGCAGGAAGCCTGCTTCTCCCTCTCCCACTCCCCCTGCTTGTGTTCCCTCTCTTGCTGTGTCTCTCTGTCAAATAAATAAAATCTTTAAATAAATAAATAAATAAATAAACCCTAGCTCTGCATCCTCCCATCTGTGTGCATGTCCCTGGCCAAGTCACTCAACTTCTCTGAACATCCATCTCCTCCTCTGTGAAAACGGAGCTGACACAGGATCTCCCTGAGGACGGAAGGAGAGAGCGCGTGAGCGTGTGTGGAAAAGCTCAGGCGCACACGAGTCTCACAAAACACCCATTCTCTTTAGGCTCTTTATAACAGCTCCAGGAAGGAGACGTTGCTGTCCCCATTTTACAGATGGAGAGACTGAGAGCTGAGGTCCACCGTGAGCGTGCCACTACCCTTGGGCTCTGAGTCTGCAACTCTCTCCCCTACAGCACATCAGGTCTGCAGCTTTAACCGGCGTGAGACTCCACTTCTCTGTGTCTCCAGCACTGAAGGCGACTGCCTGGCAGACCTGAAAGCAGGAATGGTGGTGCCCTCCCTCCCCTGCTGACAAACAGTGCCTCTGAGTCACCTGATCCAACCCGGTTCTTAGGACCAGGGGGACTCTCACCAGCTGGGAGCTCCAGGTGCAGCGGGCTGAACCAAAGAAGCCCCAAGCACCCCCCCCCGCCGGGGGCCAGCCCACGCCCCACATGCTTGAATGCAGCTGAGCTGCCTCCGGGACACGGGGAGTCAGGGCCCATCTGGCTGCCCACGCAGGGCGCTGGGCCAGGCCCCCATAGGTGCCGGCACTCGGGAGCAAAGATGCCCTCTGGCCACAGGATGAGCTGTCAGCTGCAGAGGTGCCCTGGGAAGACACGAGGCAGGACTCTGAACACAGCCCTGGCCTACAGCCACCCACGCAGAATGGCAGGGGCCGAGTCATCCAGAAGCAGGTCTGTGAAACCGTGTGGGGGATGCTAAAAATCAGGCAGAGCCTCACCCAAAGCCCCACCCTGAAGCTGTTTACATTCAGAAATTAGTAAACTGATCAATAAATACGTGCATACTGATGGCCTCCTGCATGTCCAACACCGTTGCAGACACAGCAAAGAAAACCAGCAAGGGACAGACACAGCCCAGCCCAGCCCTGCGCCCGCTCGCAGCTTCAGATTGTCACCGAACTTCACTTGCGTGTCCTCCCAGCATTTACTAAATGCGCTCCATGCGCCAGATGGGGAGATTTTAAAGACTGAAGTTCCTGTCCCGGATATAAATTATGAGCAAGGTGCTCTGGGCATGACTCATTTAGCCTCAGAATGTTCTAGAAGGTTGGGGAGCCTCCTGGGGGGCAATGAAATGTAGAAGGAGAGAACGGGGCAAAGAGAACCTATTATTTGCCAGTTCTCTTGAAGGCGTTAGAGTTTGCCTCTGGGGACAGGATTGTGTCCCTCGGAAATTCACGGGTGCTTAGCAGCTCTGGCGAAAGACAGCACCTAGGTCCCCAGTCCTCCACGCGCTGAACTCACGCATGCAGTATTTAGGACACGGGTGCTGCCTAGGAGGCGGGCAGAGCCACTGACGGTGAGCGGCCTATCGGCACAGCTGTGAGCTAAGGAATCACCTCCTCCCCTCCTGACAAGCAGCCCCTACGGGAAGTCACGCTGACCCCAGCGAACAGCGCAGCTGCGACTTTAAGGCGCCTTCCCCCAGCGTCCAGCCCTGCGGACGGGGAGCCAGGCAGGGCAGGGAAGGAAAAGGCTTCCAGCCTGAGGGCTTCTCAGCTCTCTGAAGCCACCAACCAGCCTGGCACCCCACTCTTCCTCCTTGAGCAGGCCCCCCTTTTCTCTGCCCAGCAGAGCCAGCAACTAGCGAGGGGCGGAGACGGCAAGCCAGCTCACCCTCGCCCACAGCTCGGCCCCACCCTCCCTCCTTCCCCAATGAGTCACTGAGGCTGCAACAGCTCCAGACATGCAAAGGGTCACGCCTAAAAACCCATCGACAAAGTGCTTCGTTGTCCAGAGCCCCGGGGCCAGAGGGGCAATCAGCTTCCCTCAGGATGGAGCCCCAGGCCAGGAGTCCCCAAAAGCACAGCTCGGAGGCTCAGGAGGGACTTGCTACGCGCCTCAAGCCAAGCAGCTCAGAAGGAGGGGAGAGAGCCATCGTGAGCGGTGAAGCGTCCACAGCCCGTGAGAACAGGAGCCGTGGGATCGGGGGCTGCAGGTTGGCCCCGGCAGGGCACCCCCCTGGACTCCTGGACGGGAGGGGCTGCCAACCACCCTCCTGCTCCAGCCCAGGGCTCTCCTTCTAGCGCAGCCAGGAGCAACTCCCCTCCCGTCTCCTCTGCTCTGGGCCACTGAGGTAGCAGCACATGGGGGTGCTACTGGGGGATTCGAGACCACGGTGGGAAGGGTCTGTTTACTGCATCTGAGTCCCGGGGCTCAGTCTCTCCCACATCTTTGGAGCCTGTACCAAGGCCAGATGGGCCCTTCTTCTCCTACGTAAGTCAGGTGACGCCAGGCTTCCCCGGGGCCTGAGGGTCCTGCCCTGTGGCGACCCAAAGGAGGGTCTTTGGAACTCCGGGGAATTCTGCACATTCGGCCCAAGTGTCATAAGTCTTTGGAGCTAGAGGACACCTTATAGCCATGCTGTCGACATGGTAGCTATATGTGGCTATTTAAATGTATACTAATTTAAATTAAGTTAAATTGAATTGTTAGTTTATTGCTTGCAATAGCCACATTTCAAGAGCTCAACAATCACATAAGGGCTACCATATCAGACAGGGCAGATGCAGAACATTTCCACCACTGCAGAAAGCCCTGCGGGACTGCACTGTCCGGTATTTACAGATGGGGAAGGCAGGGCCCAGAGAGGTGAGGACAGGAGAGTGTCGGGGTCCCAGAACCCTGGTCTGCCGCCTCCCCACCCCGAGGTCCACCTGACCCTGGCTCACAGTGTCCTTTATGATGGGAGGGGCTGGAGTGGGGACCCTCTAGGCAGAGGGCTGCTTAGAGGGCCGAGAAAGAGCGAGATGGTATGTCCACTCCACCTGTGAGGCTGAGACTGTGGGGACACCATAACTCAGGCCAGAAGCAGCGAGAGAAGAACAAAGCTGTGCCAACAATTCAAAACTGCAAAGAGGGGGCGCCTGGGTGGCTCAGTCGGTTAAGCATCTGCCTTCGGCTCAGGTCATGATCCCAGGGTCCTGGGATCGAGCCTCCCGTTGGGCTCCTTGCTCAGCGGGAAGTCTGCTTCTCCCTCTCCCTCTGCCCCGCCCCCTGCTCCCGAACACTCTCTCTCTCAAATAAATAAATAAAAATTTTTTAAAAGCCTTCAAAGAGGAATGTGCAGACCAGGGGGCGGGGGGGGGGTGGGGAGGGGGTTTGACATGCATTCAGATCCGGGAAGCAGACTCCTTGTCCAGGGCAGAGGGTCTCCGCCAGGGGTGGCGTCCAGAGGAGCATCTTTCCCACCCTGCCCTTAGGGAACAGAGCCCCTTCGTCCCCCAAGAGCGAGTATGAAGTCAGCCAGGGAGGGGGCCCAGCCTAACCACTGCTGCAGCCAAAAACAGCCTCACAGCCAGCGTCAGGGTCAAGATGACAGGAACTGATAGAGGCCCAGTGCCCAAGAGACATGCCCGTGGGCCTCCATGCCTCCGTGCGCCAAACCTGAAGCTACATACCAGAGGGACACAAGTGTGATCACATGCCCAGCACGGGACGGACACGGGAGGTGAGGCTCCAAGGGAGAGAGAAGCGCTCCCACCCACTGCGGAGACGGCACCAACAGCAGTGGGACTTGGACCCAGCGCAATGGCAGGTACGGGAGGGATCAGACCCACCATACACACAAGCCAGGGAGAAGCACCTCCCGAGCCCAGGAAGAATGAAATGACTCACACCCCAGGTAGAGACCTCCACCAGAGGGGAAGTCCCGAACACTTAAAACAGGATGAGCAGCTAGGATATTCAGAGAAAAGGGAGACACACCCAGAGGGGCAATCCACTCTCATAAACACCAGATAGCAAAGAGGAAGAGAAAGCTCTGCATTGAGAGAAAACCCCCAACAGATTGAGAAAAAGAGAATTTTGCCGAGCTCCTGTGGCGTGCTGTACTTCCAGGCCTGGGGGCTCATTCGATCCCAGACAACCCTCCGTGATTAATAATTAATGTCCTTATTTTAGAGATGCAGCAGCAGGCCTCCAGAGGTAAGATGGCTTGCCCAAGTATGAGCGAGGGTCTGAGATGTAAGCCCGGGCTTCCAGGACTCTGTGGCTCCAAAGCAAACAGCTTTTACCTCGGTGGAGGAATGAAGGCGCAAATAAATACACACAGGATGAGAAACCACAGAGAAAGATGCACAAGGGAGATACACAGAAGAGAGACCTGCACTGGAGGAGGGCCAGAGAGACACCCATGGGAAGATGAAGGGGCCTCCATGCTCACCTAGAGGGAGACGTGGTGCGGGGGGAGGCCTCAGCGAGAGGGGCT